TAGCTTTATTAAACTGCTTCATAGAGTAAGGCACAACTTTTCTTCTTACAAGAATATACATAATTATAATCTTTTATATTTTGCATAATAACAGGTAAAATTAAATATTCGATTAATGAACTTCCTGGTCCGAGATTTTAACAAAATTGAAAACCAAAAATTTCAACTATAACAAAAATATATAGTCCTAATGTCATTAATAGTAATATTGTCAAAGAATTGTCCGTTCTCTTTGTTTATATTAAAAAAAAAGGAAAACCAACTCCCCGGAGAAGTAATGAATACGAAACATATAAAGATGGGGTAAAATGATAAAATAATAACGTTTCATGTTCTCAAATACTATGGTCGAATTAAATTCACGTGATTAATTAAAGAATAAAGACAATCCTCATTTCGTTACTTTTCCGGACAAAATACTGGAACAAACTCCTTATTTTAAAAAAAGCGGGTTTATTTTTTACAAAAATCTTTGTCCAATTACAAGGATAACAAAGCAAAAGAAACCCAATTTATCAATTGGGAATGATATATATATATATATATTTTTTATTGCAACATATATAAATAATCATCCATTATTATTATTATTTTTTTTTTGATTTCTCAAAAACAAAATCTTCCGAGTTTAAAAAAAAAATGTTCAAGTATTTATATTTTGTTTTGTTCATTTTACTTCAATTAGCTATAAATTGTCAAACGAAATCATTTAAACCATCGCATAGATATCTGCATACCACTACACTTATTGATAATAAATTATATATTTTGGGCGGGCACCAAATTTTTAACTCTACTATAAATGCTGGCAAAGAGTTTTTTTATCTCGATGTATCCATTTCATTCGATACTCAAAATTTATTATGGTATGATTTAACAAACATTAATATCATCCCAACACATGCTTTTGCAACGACAGTTAGAGGGGCAAATAATGATACATGAATTGTATATGGAGGAAGAAATTTAACAAATGCGGAAACCATGGCCCAAATTTATGTGTTCGATTCGCAGAGTAATTCGTGGTATATTCCATCGACAACGGGAGTAAACTATGTCAAAAGGAGAGGACTAACCGCTAAGATTGATAATAATGGGAAGATATACTTATTTGGTGGATGGATAATAGGTAGTAACTATGTGAATGAAATGCTCATTTTAGATACTATTAATTTAACATGGAGAGAAGGGAGTTCTCAAGACGCACCCGTTCCAAGAATAAATTATGGAGCGGTACTTTTGCCTAATCAAAATATTATTCACTTGGGTGGGATGATGCATGCTAATAGAATTTCACCATTAAATGAGGTAAATTATTAAGCTATTTCGATATGTTTATGAAGTTTCAAGCAATTAATTGATTAGAGCGAATTCAATTATTTTTACAGGTTTATTCATATGATACTATTCATGATAAATGGAGCACAATAGTAAGTCAAAATACCTTTTCATTATCACAAACACCATTTTTAATAAGAATTTTGTTAACATGCGGTAATTATTTTATTCAACTAAAGAAAACTTCAGGATCAATACCTTCTGATAGATTTGGTTTTTCTGCTGTTCTTGGTAAGTATTTGATCAAGTGAAATGACATTCTTTTAATTCAATTACTGATTTTCGTTGGTCATTATAGGATTGGATAATCAACGGATTATAATATTTGGAGGAAATGAAACAAGTGAGATCAGTTCACTTTATTCATTAGACGTAAACGAATTTAAGTGGTATGTACCAAAGGTTTATGGAAAACTCCCAACATCTCGATATTGTCATAAAGCGAATGTGGTTGGAAACTATATGATCGTATCCTTTGGTAAAGATTTATATCTGATTTATTAAATATTTGTAATAATAATTTTATAATTAATTTGATTTTAAATTTGATAGGACTTGGTTATAATCCAGATGTTGAACATGATATATTATTGCTCGATATAAGTAATGACGATGAATATAAATGGACAACCGAATTTAATCCTTCATATTTGTCATCACTTCCGACACCGACGCGTAAATCTACGAACATACCAACTTTGGTCGGTACAATTATCGCATCTTTATCTGGCGGTAGTTTTTTCACAATTGGAATGTTTTATCTATACAGATGGATTGAGAATAGACGAAGAAACAAGGTTGCAGTATTAGAAGTCCCTGGAAGTAACGCACGTGAATAATAACGAAGGTTACAAACTGCTGTGCATACAGCATCGTCATATGACATTTAAATCAAGCCGACATAAAGCAAAATTTAAGACATATCCCTAAGAAGAAACATTTCATATATGGCGGTTTCCAACAAAAAAAAAATAAATAAATAGCGGGTACTATTTATGATATTGCACTTTATGGAATGGAATGATTATTTGTGTTAATCAACATGAAACTCGAATTCCAATTACCAGTTTGCTTGCAATAGCATAGAATTGAGTCAATAACTGCAACTTGTTCAAATAAGACGAAAGGCTAAAATAGTATATATTCAAAATTGTGCAGCGCCAATCTGTGACCTTTAAGTATGAAATAACGCTTCGAAAAGTTTCCTAATATGAACTAAAATTAATAAAAATACGATAAAAATACATTTAAAAGTAATTATTTTTTTCGCTTATTTTTTTAATTTTTAATTTCTTAAGATTTATCTCTGACTTCCTTTACCTGTCTATATCATCAATTTTTCAATTTATTTTAAAATTTGGTAATATGTGAAAATCATTAAAATTTTAAACATGTAGAATTTTTTGATGAAAAAAATACATAAAATGTATAAATATCGTTTATTTTTTATACTCTAAAAGGTCATAGTTACTGTAGTATGAAATAAATAAAAATAAATGAAACAACCAAATCGCTACTGTAAATCAGGGTCTCTGCAACACGTTTTCCGGCGTGGATTTCACAAGGATATCTTGACCAAGGTTGAAGGTGAAGCGGAGAACTAACTGGATCGAGTTTAACTTTAACTAATGAGTTAACCTACCCTTCGAATTTGATAATATTCAATTTGAGCAATGCCTCGCCTTTAGTTTGAGTTGATGTTCCGCGTCACATTTTAATGACCTTAGACAATTCGGTGAACCTGATACCATAAAAGAAGTGGACATGACTTTCCGTCACATCCTTTTAAAAATTAGCACGAAATCATTCGAAAATTCTTAACGAGATTCAAACCTTCACCTACATGATTTCGTTAAGATTTTTAATAACTTGTAAATATTTAAAATTTTGTAATACAAATAAAAATTTTCGAAATTTACTTTACAATTCCGTTTGTATTTGACCATTGAAAGGATCTATCTTTGGCATTTTACTAGATAATTTTTTTTTTTTTTTTGTTTATTATTTCCTCATATTTGTTCCATGAATAAAAGGAGATTTCTTCTTGAGATCTACATCATTATTCTTTGTTTCCAATATTCGAATAATAAATATTTCATGGTAATACAGTAAATAAAACGCTTTTGTCCACATGATTAATATATAATCCGTATATATTTATTTATGCGATATTAAATATTTATTATTTTTTCCTGGTAATACCAATCAGCTTTTGAATTTAAAAATTAGCAGTAGATTTAAACATTGTAAAACTTTATAGGCTAATGATGATAGTTGTGCAACAAATCAAATTATTACCTAATTGGTTGATCTGATCAAATCTAAGATTTATTTTTTTATTCCCGAATCGGGAATCGACATTTATTTATATTGCAGTCTGTAATTAAAGTAAATTCTTACTATATACAGTATAAAAATATAAATTCACAAATTCTTTTTGTTTAAAATTATTTGACCTCTGATTATAATTTCTTATCTATAAGAAAAAAAAAGTATTCATGAAATAATCTTACTAATGTTAAAATTTTTAGAATGATATATTTGCAAATTCATTATTAATAAAATACATTTTGTTACACCATATTAATTTAAATATACAGTATATTATATACAATATTTTTCATGTTTTGATTATTTGAAGCAAAACTAAAATCAAATCTCAAGTTCTTGCTTTATAGGAAAAGCATACCATTATAATATTACTAAATATTTTTTTTAATTGTAATCATTAACTATACACCAGGATTATTAAAACTTTTTTCTGGGAGAATATAAGGACCTATACATAAAATTATTAATTTTAATTTATAAATATATTGATAAATCCATAATCTTCGATTAATCCTTGATTTCTTACATTTTAGAATTGTTAAAATTTGACGCTTCTAAATACGCGCTTTCCAATTCAGATTGAGTCAACGAATCTAAATAAAAAAAAAAAAAAAATGAGAAGCTCGAACCGATGAGTAAACATTTAAGCATCTAATCATTGAATACCTAAAGATGATGAGGAATTTGCTGAATCAGTCGCACTAAGAGACTGTTGAGAATCTGCTGATGCTGCAGATCCTTTTGTTGCTATATTTGAAGGCTGTTGTGAATTTGGTGTTAAATTAATTATCGGAGTCCCCGTTGAATCATTATTTTCTGAAGAATTATTTGTATCAATAGGACCGGCATTCTGAGTTATTGGTAGAAAAGCTGCAAGATCTTGCATTTCCAATTTTGCTAACCTTTCGCTCAAAGAAAATTCATCACTCTTTTTCAGTAAATCATTTTCTTCATCAAAATATTCATCATAATCATTATCAGGATCAGGGTTGGTAGCCATAATACTAGTAGCAAGATCGTGCGTATCAAAAGACAATGGATTTGAAAGAGTTCGAGATAGAGGCATGGTCATTGATGCAGCAGGTGTGGCGAAAGACGTATTTGTTGATGATTCTATCGTGGGTAAAGTAGTTGTATAATTGTCTTGTTTTTGAGTGAGATGATCAGTTGTAATTGTTGAAACAGATGAAGAAGGAGATGTTGGACGCCCTGATACATTAGTCATTCCAATTGGAAGGGGAGATTGTGTGGATTGCGTATGAACTAATACATTTTTTACTATATTAAAAGATAATCAAATTAGTCTAATCATTTCAATAAATTAAACAGAGTAACAAACTACTACACAAATTAAAACCTTGAGATGGTTCAATGGTCGATTGTACGACTGACGCATTCAGAGAAGAAGAAGCCGATCCGCTTGTTTGCTTGCGCCCATCTGTCAAACTAGTATTGCTTCCCGTCCGTGTCATATCCTGTGAACCAACATGCCCTCCACGAGATGTGGTGTGGTGTTCTCTGCTTGCATTAGACATTGCGGATAGCGGTCTTTGGTGACCAATGATCGTCCCATCACCCTCAAATATCGAAACCTTTGTTAAAGATGCTCGACTTGATGCCCTATTTCGACTACCTATAATTCCGCTATTGCTAGCACTTAAAGTTTCCCCTCGTCGTAACTGTTTCTGAACCCCGCGCAACTGTGTTTCATATAAAAACGAAGCATGTCGCAGAAGATACGGTACAGGCACATTTAAAAGACGGGAAGCTGCATACCCTATTTCAGGTAGAAATAAAAATACATTATCGATTTGTAAATTAATTATTATTATTTTTTATTTTTTAAAAAAAGGAGAATCGGTACCTACAGTCAATGCTTTGTCGTTTATTTTGCGTAAGTATTTCCCATAGTTTTTGTTCCATCTCCTCAGTCCATACAACCTATATATTAAACAATTTTAGAAATGGTGTTTTAGATGCTTTTAAATGAGAGTTTATTTAAAACTCACAGAGGGCGGCTCAACGAAACCATGAGGTCTTTTATAAGGGATCCTTATAACAACGTGCAGTGGCTGTTCTGAAGACATCTTTTTTTTTAAAAATAAAAATCAAGCTTAAAAAGAATTATTTTTTAATTCGGATCATGCACGTTTTTTGTGTATGATAAATAATAGAACACCAATAAGGAAATTTGACCACCAGTTTTTTACATAAGGCTATCTCATCATAAATTAAAAAATTTTTTTTGTAATTATTTATTTATGATAGAAAATTCTTTCTTTGCTAATTAATGCAACAATAGTAAAAAAAAAAAAAAAAAAAAAATTGCCTTAAATAACACCTGTTTAGTGTATTCCTGTTTTTTTTTTTTTTATCAAAAAGTTTTTCGCTAAAAGTGCTTAATAATTTTCATAAAATTTCTCTAAAAAATATAGCTTTTCGAAATTTTACAAAAATTGTTTTTATTTTTATAGAATATTTCTATTATTTAGTTAAATTATAACCTATATTTTGACTTTATAAAGTAATACTAATAAAGTTAGTTTTTTTTAACGTGCTTTTATTTGTAACATTTGATATCTTTTTGCAAGCTAGTCTTATTTTAATTTAATTCAATATAATCCTCAGTATAAAATTCACAATTTAAGAAAAAAAACAATGGATGATATCACTTATCAATTGGAAAACTCGGTGCAATTTTGGGAAGGTGCGTAGACTTTTTTTAATCTACTTAACTAAATTATAATATTTATATATATATCTTTATATTCATAGAATTAGATGAAATCCTCGCACGAGGTGATGAAAATCAAAGTTCAGCGCTAAGTTCTATTGATTTATACATAAAGTTTGTTTCTAATTTTCAAGGTAAATGTTTGGATCGAACGGTTACCTTATTTTATTTCATTCTTTTTGTCTAAATTTCCCTCTTCACAACTTTTAGATGAATTTCTTGAAAATGTAACGGAACTTATGGGCTGTTGTTACAAATTGCTTGTTTCTCCCATCTATCGAAAGTTTTCTGATACGGTTATCGAACGCGTTATACAACGTGCATCAAAGCAAACGGATGTTAAAGAATTATGTGTATTATATAACATCTTGTTTCTTGCAGGAAAAGAAAGCAAAAAGATCTTTGAACAAATGTACGTACGAGAACAAAATTTTGTATCGAAATTAAAAAATCACATATATGAGAATAAAGTTGGTAAGTTTACTACAAATCCTAATCATCCTTTTAATGGTAATGAATTCGGAAATTTATTAGGCGATTTTTTTTTTATATTAGATAATAGGTTGCAACAAATTTCAATACAGTTGCTTTTCGAAATTTGCTATGTTCAACGATTATCACCTAGCTTATTAAGTAAGATTACAATTCATCATATTTAAATGGACATATATATATTTTATTGATTTTGATATTAATATGACATTTTTCTTTAATATAAGACTTAATAGATGAACCATTTTTGAATTATCTCCTTGATTTGGTAGAGAATACAAGAGATGATGAGGATGAAACTTTTAATTACTCCATCATCCGGTTGATCGTAAGTTCGTTCATTGCATGTAGAAATCATCTTGCATAATGAAAATGAATTTAAACCATAAATCACCTTTTTTTGTTGGAACTTTTCAAGCTGTCGTTTAATGAACAATTTATGTTATCAGTCATGTCGCAAGGAGAGGATGAGGAGGATGAGGATTGGAATCCCAATACTGTTCTACGAGTATTGGGAGCGAGAATCGGTAGCAGCAAAACTTTTGGCGAAAATGTAATATTTATGTTAAACCGTGCAGGTATTGATTAAAGTTCAAAATCACTATTTTATTAAATCGTATTGAGTTCATTAACACTTAAGTTTGGGATTTGTCTAGTCGATCATCATATACAATTGCTTATATTGAAACTTTTAAATGAACTATTTTTTACGCCGGAAACATACGAATTTTTTTACACAAATGATTTGCGGGTTTTAATAGATGTATTCATTAGAGAACTCTATGATTTGCCGGAAGAGAGCGTGACAGTAAGTTCAATGACAAATTTCCTACATTTTAATTCGTTTTGTATTAACGTAATTTCTTTAATTGTAGCTTCGTCACGCATTTCTACGAGTACTTTACCCATTAATCACAAATACTCAGTTGTGCCAATATCCATATAAACAACAACAGATTTATAATTTGCTCTTAGATTTGAATGGAACTACGACAAAACAATTTAAACCCGTATCGCCAAAAACACAAAGTTTAGTCAACAGGTGTTTGATGACAGAATATTTGAATGGTATAGCCTCTCCTCATAATTTTGGTAATGGAATAGCAAGAAACCCTACTCCAAATGCTCTTGTTATGGATCTCGCAGTAAATACAAATTCTTCAAATGGAAATGGACTTGCGGTCAATTAAAAGATCTCTTGGTAGTGTTCATAAAGAATTTTTCGAGTATATTTAATATTTCCTTGGTCTTTTTTTATTTGGATAAACATTTTTTTTTTTTTTTTTTTTTGAAAAAAAAAAAAAACGGATTTAAAATTTGAACATTTCGTAAATTTTACTTTAATCAATAATCAGTTTGTGACAATAATTCATTTAATACATTAATAATTTTCTTTGATCGTGTTTTTTTTATTTTTTATTATATTTACTATTTTAATACCTAATGAAAATCTTAGCTACTCGTTAATATAAATTGAATTTACACATTAAATTAGACAAATTAGAATTTAAGAAACAAAATATTTTCACATGATAATGAACGAATTTTATATGCTGTTCAAAAATCTACCAGAACATATGATATAATTAATTAATCATGGAATTTTGATATTCGATTGAAATTATGCTGCTGTTATTTGATATATAAAATTCCAAACAAGGTTAACAGTTTTTGTGGCGAGCAAAAATTTTGTGCCAACCAATCACGTGCAACGGACGTGTTCTAATTAGCATTAAATAGATATTAAAAAAGTATGTATGTTTACTACTATTTTAATAATTAATTTCCGCTTTTTGTTCCCTAACTAAATTACTACGTAATTATGGACAACTGAAAAAGCGGATAAAAAATATGAAAAAGGTAGTATTAAATTCTAATGTTTATTCTTTTTTGAAATTGATGAATTACTTAATATTCTAATAACTATCTATTGATATAAATATTTAACTTATCATTATTAATTAACATATAAAAAGAAATCTTAATAAAGAAGCAATTGTATTTAATTTTTAATCATAAATTTGCAAACACACATTATAAATAAAACATCAATATTTAATTTTTTGTTAATAAAAATAACTGTAAACCAACAAGTATTAAAAATAATTTCAAATCTGAAAAATTATGCCTTATATTTCATATATTTGATAACTTTATTTCAATAATTCTTATAAATTTATAAATTATAGTTTATATACAATATTTAAATATCAACTTCATTAGATATAAATTTAGTAATTCTCATTTTCTTAAATAAATTAATTTTAAAAAAATATTTTAGGTTCTTTAATGATGAAAGAAAGTTATTATGGAATTTTATCAAGAGGTAGTTTATGAAATATAAATCACGAAATAAAAAAATTTATTGTATTAAAGAAATATTTGAAAATTTTGATACGAAAGAGTTACAAGAATCTAAAAATTCATTTTGCTTAATAATTTGTCTTTTAAAGAAAATAAATGACCATCTTGGTATTTAGTTAGATTTTACTGATAACGTTGCTTTTTTTCGGTGAAAAGCATCTGAACGACTTTTTTTTTTTTATTTTGATGCATAATTAGAACATAAGCTCTTGTTGAAGAAGAGCTCCATAACAAATAAATCACGTGTGATAAAAAGTGTACATATTAAATTGGATTTTCAAATCGACAGAAAATATAACATTTATATTTTTTATGGTAAAGGAGACAAACGTTTTGTTTAGCACTTGAAGATTGTCATGGAATAATCTTGTTACTTTATTCCACACCATATACTACAAGAAATGATCCATGGACGTTTCAAATAATATTGAGATCGATAATTTAATTATTTGTGAACCATTAAATAACATCTTTATATTGCAAAAGTATTTTTTTTCTATTGATCATCAAAAAGATAAATTAAATTAATTTAATTAAAATACAGACCCGGGTCCGGGCCGACATTTTAATTACGCAGTCCTTACGAATTAATAGTTTACTAATTCTAGAGAAGTCTAATTGCTTATATATAATTACTCCCAATCAAAAAAGTGTCATAAATATCAAATGTGGCAATTTTGATGGGACCGCTCCCGGTCATCAAATCCTATAATTTTAAATTTTAAGAAATTCTGGGATTCCAAGAATAGACAAGTTTAATAATAAATTGTTTTCTTAAGCTTCAATTATGCAGGCCTCTAATAATAGTTGACTATATTTCGTGTTAGATGGTTGGCAATTGACCTTGAAATGACCTCAAATGGCCTCAAATGACATCATTTTTATAATAATTTCAAAAAAAAAAAAAAAAAAAAATAGTAAATGACGATCATCACTGGTTTTGGATGTATCAATTTTCTAAATTTCTAGGCATCGTAAACATAAATGAAAGCCATTAGTTCCTTGCTTTTTAAATAACGAAGTAAAATATAAGCATAAAAAATCATGTTTGATTTTATTAGTTATTAACCTACTAAAACTTTAAATTAGTTCTCTATAAAATAATTACAACTCGTCTATCTCGTCTATGTAATTAACATTTGAATTTGTTACACAAGTTTGTTTGCAATCTCAAATTTTTAAAGTGTTCCGTTCCGTTCTAATATGTCTTGATTAAAAAAATAAAGATGTAATATGATCGTACTAAAACCGCTTTCGTAGAATTTTTTTTTTTTTTAAAAAAAAAAAAAGAGCTTAATTACGCAATCAGTTAATAATTTTTCTTTCTCCCGGGGTTGGTATTGCTTGCCTTCGATATTTCCTATCCTTATGCCATCTATATAAAAGAATACTTCCAAATGATAAAGATATACCGCTAAATAAAGATCCTATTACCGCGCCAACCAGAGCTCCTAGTCCATTGGAATGCTGTAGATAAAATGATGACGATGATGGCGT